GATGGCTTATATAGCACCTCCGAGGCTATTTTGCACTAAAACATAGACCGAACGATATGATTTCAACATGACTTCGACATGATCTTATTAACATGAATTTAACTACATAAAAAGAGGGTAAAGGAATGTATACCCTTCAGTTCGGTAGAGAAATATTCGGGGATGTGCGTGTATGGTGCTTGAGCGTTTGCGTGCGTACTTCCCTTGTGCTTCCGCCTTCCTTAGCTATTTTTGTATAATTTTGTCACAATATTTCCCTACTATTTTTCTCTCTATTACTTGCTAAAGAGGACTCGATTTTGCATGAAGAAAATGCATGGAAATTCAGTTACACGTACGGTAATTTAAAGAAGGTGAACGTCGAGAGTGAAATTTGGGTCAAGGAGGTGATTGATGATGCATTCGTCCCTTGACGCCAAGTGTTCCATACGTGTGCTGAGGTGGGACATTTTTCCTTAGTCATAGCTGAGGTGTCAAGCATGCACGGGCTTAGTCATTGCCCGTGCGTCCGTGTCACGCCATGTGTGCAAGCTACTAGGTGAGTCACCCTTGCAACTTGCACTCCAACCTCATCTCTTGGTAATTCCTCACGGCTATTCAAAGGGAAAAGGATTTGGATTACTTAACCTTGATCATAGTGCTAAGCATCACATAAGCATGCGCTTAGTAGCTTAATGATGCGCGCGTTATGCGTTGCGCGCGTTTACGTGCGTGGCTGTACGCACGGCATGCGTGCACAAGTGCGTACATAGTGTACCTTGTACATTTATGCCTTAACTTGATTTTTTACTTTGAAATTAAATCCGAACATTCTTAACTTTCAATAATTAATCCCGATTAATAATGTCCGTTTACAAAATAAATGGTTCGGAAATTAATTATCGAATTTGACTCGGTTAATAATTAACCGGATAAACTTTTCGACTTAACGTCGAACATATTTGCTGAAAATGAACGGAATTAATAAAGGATAATACATCATTTTCTATTAACAAGAAGTTGGGTTATTACAATCTACCCCCCTTAAAATATTTCCGTCCTCGGAAATATAAAACAAAACATATATATACATGAAGTTTTATACATCAAAACTGAAAATCGGGAAAACGAGCGCGAATGTCAGACTCCTGCTCCCAAGTGGCTCCGTGGCGATCCCACTGAATACGAACGAGGAAAACATCACGCTTCCGGAGTCGTCGAACCTGTCGGTCCAATACAGCTACCGGTCGCTCCTCGTAAGATAAGTCTGGATGAATCTCAATATCAGTATGAGGAATGACATGATCGGGGTCGCACACGTACTTGCGTAACATAGATACATGAAAGACATTATGAACACTGGATAACTCGGGAGGTAAGGTTAAACGATACGCAACATCGCCCACTCGCTCGAGTACTTCGAACGGGCCAATAAACCGAGGGTGTAACTTCCCTTTCTTCCCGAATCGAACAACTCCGCAAAATGGACTAACTCTGAGAAAAGCGTGCTCGCCAACCTCGAATTGGATATCTCGTCGATGATGATCGGCAGTTGATTTCATTCTGCTCTGAGTTGCTCTGAGTCTCTGCCGGATCAACTCGACTTGTTCTACAGTCTCCTCGATCAATTTCGGACTGAGTACTCGACGTTCACCGACGTCGTCCCAATAAAGAGGGGAACGACATTTACGACCGTATAGTGCCTCATAAGGAGCCATCTGAATAGAAGAATGATAACTGTTGTTGTACGCGAACTCCACGTACGGCAATAACGACTCCCATATTGTTAGGTTCTGTTAGGAACGTCAAACAACATGCACAGTATTGAACTTTAT